AGAGTGTGGGAGAGTAGGTGTGATGAGCTGACTCCCTTCGTAGCAACAATTAAAAAAAAGGAGTAAAAATGTGCTTAATGAATAAGTAAATGCCTTGGCAAAAACTAGAGGACTAGATTAGAAATTGTCTAAGTTTTCTAAGTATAGATTGGATACAATCACGCACACACACTACCACAAAGGATCTTGACCTAGGGAAAAGTACTTGAATTCTTGATAAGTCTAGCATGTTGAAGCCTATTTTTTTCTGAGGGTTGAAATTCAATTTTATGTTACTGTCTTAATGTCAAACATTACCATGACATTTTACTTATGTAACTGCTATCCAATGCTTGAGGACAAGCAATAGCTTAAGTTTGGGGGTGTGATAACTTCCTAAAAATGCTACTTTTAAAGCCTTTTTCACTTAAGTTATTGTTTGTTTAAAAGCTCATTTTAGGATCATGTAGTTGCATATAGTTGCATTTGTGGTGGTAGTGTTATTTTATTTCTTAATGGTGTGCTTGAGGGAAAGGTGCAGTTTGTTTGTGGTGTGCAGGGAATAGCAAGAAAAAGGATTATTTGGGAAGCAATGCCGCGGCATCACGCGTTGCTAAAGCAGAATGAAATGCCTCGGCATTTCTGGCATAGAAAAAGATAAAAAAAGATATTTCTGCACAAGGACAATTGGCACTAGACAGTTGTCTCTGCACGTGAAGGACTGCTGTAACCGCCTGTCAGAGCCGCCAAAGGACCACTGCCACTTGGAGGATAAGATTCACGCTCAACATGTGATTCTAGGGGTATGAGGGGTATTTTGCACCCAACAATATCATCATTACCCCTAGATATTTTTTATTATATATGACACCTCATGGGAGAGAGAAAGAGATGATTCACGCACACACATACTGTAGCAAAAATAAGATTTTTATTTTCTTTTTCCTTTCTTCTTTCTTGGGATATTCCTCCATTGATAAAGCTCTAAGGAGTGGCAAGCTAGGCGCCCACTCCTTGGAGCTAGCGAGCTAGGTGGTTCACGGTGGCCGAGATGAGACCTCCGGTAGTGCGTCGAAGGCTTCTTCTCAACTTCCCTTTTTGCTGCTATTTTATATTTATTTGTGGGTTGTTGGAACAAATATTTTCATGACTTGTGTTTGAATATTTTGAACCCCACCATGAACTAACTTATTTGGTGGTAGTTGGTTTAATGGTTGTTTGAACTTTATTTTTAATGGTGTATTTAAGTTTATTTTGGTTCTTTATTTGCTTTGCTTATGAATGCTTCACCATCTACGTTTGTAAGAGGCATAAAAATGTCCATTTCTTAGATAAAGGTTAGGTATTCGGAAGAATCCTAGACTAAAAATACTTGTAAGTATTCAGAAGAAACGCAAGATAAGATCCTCATAAGCAATGGGTTATAGTATTTTCAAGGGGCTTTGAACCGACCTATGAATTTTATAACTTAATCCCTTAGATCTCGGAAGAGACTAGGATAGGATTTCAACGACTAAAAAGGGTGTCTTTATCAATAGGGTAGGCTTGCCAACATCGTTGAGTGAGAGCAGATGCCTTGGCATCCTATTCTGTTAGGTTCTTTTGAACACTTTAGGAAAGCTCTGTCGAGTAAGTAAAGACCAGGTAGCTTAAATATACTTGAGAAATAAGTTTAGCGACCTTAGATCAATCCATACCATTCATTCTCTTGGAAGCTTGTCACATGAGGATTATTTTCTTTACATTATTTTCTTTTTATTTACTGTTTTTACCATTTTTCATTTCCTTGACATTTCACCATACTCAACATTAAACATCCATCATTGCCATTGCATTTCCATTTGCTACACCATCAGACCATCACTCCATATCCACCAGCATACACATTTACATTGCCGTGACATTTGTATATATCAAGACTAACTATACTTAGATAGAATAATGCATTGCTTTGGTTAGACTTTTGTAATTTCATTCAATCCATGTGGAGACGATACTCACTCATCATTATATTACTTGAGCGATTGTGTATACTTGCACATTATTTGCGTATAATTTATAGTACTCACAACACGCGAACAGTTATCCCATAAAATTTTGGTGTTAAATGAGGTCTCGAACTTTAAATTATATAAGAAATATAGAAGCACTTAAATCACTAATTTAGTATTTTATTTATAATTAAATATATCTTAAATTATACTTAATATTATGTTTAAAATAAAAATAAGTTTAATATTTTTGTATACGAAATTATATTGTTATTATATAGTCTATTATAATGTGGGTTTTTTTATGATTTTTAACAAAAATGTTATTTTCCCCCTTAAGTATTAGATAACCTCCTCACTTTAGAATAAGAATGTCTCTAGAATAATATATTTATTTTAAAATGATCATTCTTTTTATGCATAATTATATCCATATATTTTTTATTTTTATTGTTGTTTTAGTTTTTAATAGTATAAAACAATATGGTGCATATAAAATAAAAGATAAAAAATATATCAAAATTTTTGTTTTGTTTTGAATATTAATTGTGTATGTGTTTGGTTTAAGTTTTATTTTTAGTGTGTTTTATTGCATTTATTTTTCATTAATTTTCATGAAATGGTTTCTATATTATAATTTTTTATGTTTTTCAATAATTTTTTTTCAAATAATTTGATATAATATTTTGTAATACAACTCATACATATAGCATAAAATTATTATCTAAATCCTAAATTTCTCTATAAAGTAATTCTATATTTTTTTCTTTCAAATTGTCTCCTTAGGTGGCTCCCAGTGTCATCGCCTTTTTTTGCTTACTTTTATTTTGATTAAGATCTAAATAAACATCTTCCCCATTTTGTACTCGCTTCTTTTCACATATTCTTGAAACATTTATTTTTGTTTGTTTTTATGACACTATTGCTCCTCTGCTTTTGTGACACAACTTTCTTTATCATTATGATGATTTAGTGTTTCATGTTGCATTCAATATGACACACATCCTGATCATGAAAGGTCGCCAATCTTTTATAATTATATCCTCTTTTGCAACAGTTTGTTGATGCATCAGAGTTGCTTGTGGAGCAATATGTTTGATTTGTTCTCCTAATATCCACGCTCACATCAATATTGTGCACGTATTTGAACAGAGATAGTAAGATTATTGATATTTGCTATGTTCTTTTTTTTTGGAAGCTAAAACATATATTTAAGGGAATGTTTAGATTTTGTTTTTTTCAATGCTCTTTGGATTTCCACATTAAATTTTGTTGTCTTTGTTGTACCTTACTTTTTTATTAATTAAAACCTAGTTTTAATTTAAAAATTATACATGTAGCATCGATAAATTAGGAACATGTTTTGAAATAAACATAAACTTACTTTGAGGTAAGTATGTACATATCTCAATATATTTATATCTAAAAATAAACAGTGATGAACCAATGGATATAACTAGAGGCAGACGATAGTAACTCCTTGGAAAATTTCAATTATCATATATTCTAGATATTTTCTTTATATTTTATGTGATAATATAATTACATGAAAATTTATAAAAAGTATATTTATTTCAATGTAAATATTTTCACTTTGAATATTGAGAATTCACTTTAAAGTTAAAATATTTACATGAAAATTGATAGAAAATACATTCATTTCAATGTTGAATTCAACTTGTTAAGAAGAAAATATATTTAAATAATAATTGGTAATATATATATATATGAGATAGGATATGTTACACAATGTAAAACTATTTTAGTTTTACACATATTTAAGACCATTAGATGAGTGAAAGTAGATGACTGAGATTAACAGAAAAAATGAGAAAATATTCATTGAAACAAAAAACAATGAGTTAATATAAGTCATCTATTTTCACTTATTAAATGGTCATAAATATGTGTAAAACTAAAGAGTTTTACATTATGTAAGCGAATTCTAACCCTATATACTAATGCACATTGAATTAAGGGTTTAACCTAAATAATAGTTTTAAAATTTTCCTCTCTATACATACGTAGTTTTACATATATATAAATATTTTATTTTTTAGGAATGAAATATGTTCTAATTATGATCGAATTGATAAAATATGTAAGTGATGACGATAAAATAAACTATTTCCTAATTAAATTTAATTAGATTGATAGAATGTATAGTAATGAGGACTAAATGTGGTATTATCTTAGTTATGATCAAATTAATAAAATGTATAAATAATACAAACCAAACGTAATATTATACAAACTTGCTTGAGTGCAACTGTAGTGATTTTATTAAAAATTAATCGTTGGTGGATTGATTGAAATCAAATAAAAGTTTACTGATTTAATTGATAAACTTTTTATCCAATGATTAAAATATAATAAAATAATTTACCCATTTTTCAAATCACTTATCGTGTCCATTTGATTTGAACTAGGTCAGATCCGAATACCTATTTTAACCATCTAAAAACAATAACAATATTTATAAACATTTTTATATTAATATTTTTAATTTATTTAAAAAAAATAAACGATTTCAACATTCGGATCTAAAATGAATTAGAATTTAGGGTAAGCTACAAGTTAGTATCTAAACTATTATCTTTGTTCCAGTTTGATATTTAAACTTTATTTTTTTAGAATAATATCTAACATTTAGTTTATATTAATTTGATACCCACCGTTACAAAATTAACAAAGTTTCTGACATAACATTTTATTTATTTTTTCAATAATAATATGATATTACCTTATGATAATACTTCAATACCACCGTTAAGTTTTTAATTATAAGATACTAAAATAAAATTAAACTAAATTTTAAATATAATTTTAAAAAATAAAATTTAGATATTAAAATAAAATAAATAATAATTTAGATATTTAACGAGTAGTCTACTATAGAATTTATACATTCACCCATGAAACCGATCCATCGGATAAACGGGTTACAGTTTTCAAGGAAAGCGGTAGTTGATGTGAGAAAAGCTGTAAATACAGGGATATATTTGCAAAAGCAATATAGCGCCGTAGACCCACAGTAACCACATATCGTCCCAAGCCAATCCGTTCCATTCGATTCCCGCTCAGTTTCCTTTTTCGAATTACAAACTCAAAACTCACCTCTCCAGAGTTGCAGTCTCCCCTCTATTCCGATTCGACCGAGTCAACACTCGGCCCAATCTCAATCCCATAGAAACAAAGCAAATGTCTCTCCTAACTCTCCCTTCGGATCCGCTGGAGGCCTATTCGGGTCTCGCGCTGTTCCCTCGGACCTTCGCTTCCTTTCCAAACCCTCCGCCACCTCATCACCCCGACAATCTTCAGCACTCTCACGATTTTCTCAAAGCCATGGTTTCTCATCTTCTTTATTTGAATTTTTGTTCTCCACTATTAAATTTCTTTACTATTGTTTTGTGTTGTGAGAAAATACTAATTTAGTATTGATTTTTTCCCAATAATTTTTCAGCCAGTGCAAAGTCCTAATAAGCTTATGCAGCAAGCAAAAGCAATTGTAGATAATAATAGTTCAGAGCTCTTGAACTTGGATATGTCAAATTCCTATGCTGAAATTATGGAAAATCCTCGAGAGCGCAGACCGGCTTTAGGCCGTAAACGACCTCGTTTCTCTTTGAAACCCAACTCAAGGTGAATCTTACTTGAAACTGCTTATTTTACTTAATCTCATTTTATTTTGGTAATGTCTGTTGAATTCATTTCAATTCTTCAATTTTTGATAGTCAGCCTACTGTGAAATGGGAACCGAGCTTAGACATTGATAAATTGGAAGATCCCGAGGAATTCTTTGTGGCATTTGAAAGGGCTGAAAGTAAGTTCGCTGCTCAATTTCATTTTTGTTTAATTGGTAAATACAATCTGCTAGTATTTCTATGAACTTAGCTTTCCATGTATCTATGTATTGTTTTATAGATGCCAAAAGAGAAATAGAGAAGCAGACGGGTACTGCTCTGATGGATTTGGATCAGAATATTCAGTCCATGTTTACAAGACCTCGTCGTCCTGGAATGTTGCGGTCCGATCAGTGTTCCCCTTACCAAATTTCCGTTGTATTCAGTTTTTTTCTTAGGCATACATGTATCTAACATAGCCTTTGAATTTATGTTCAGGAGATCGGTTAATTATAAACATCGCTATTATACTGCTTTCTCCCCTGTAGAAAGCTTTGAAGAGGAAATTCGCAGTCCAATTTGCAATTCGAGATCAGAAAATTCTGACCTGAATGTTGAATTGCAAGACACGGAATTGAGTGGTAAGTCGGGAAAGGTTGATTTACCCTAGGGTGTTACTTTCTTCCGTCCCTGCTATCCCAATCTTGATGTCTTATTTAAAAGACTAAACTAACCTGCCATATAACTTGATTTTCATATGTGTTTGTTTTCATCATGTTGGAAGTTACCACCAACGGGCATGCACTAATATAATGCTATATGCTCTCTGTCTTAGTGGCCAATGCAGAGAACAAGGCTAGTGAACTTCTGGACCACTTGCTTACCAGTAATTGTGATGGGGATGACACAATCAATCTTCTCCAAGAGAGGTTGCAGATTAAACCTGTTGACCTGGAGAATATATGCCTTCCTGACTTTCAAGATATTCGAAAGATAGATTTGAAGGCTTCTAGAGAAAGCTTGGTCAAGCCTAAAAACTTGCTATCAGACATACAAAGTTTGATGAAAGGGTTCAAATAAAAGGACACCGAAACAAAAGCCTGAAACTTCAGTTAATCAGTTAGTTTCTCCCACTCCATCAAGAAGTCTGTTAGCTTCGATATCGTTGCTGAAGAAACAAATATTTCAGTCTGATGTACTAACTGATCCATTTTCAACTGATAATGCTAACCAATCACCAGTGAGAAATGCATCTGGCATTGAAAGTAATAGTAAACAATCTGATCAGGTTATTACACAGAAGGAATTAAGTGTGTCTGACAACAATGATAGACAAACACCACAACAGCAGCCAGAAAGTTCAGTTCTTAATTTAGCTTCTCCTACACCTCCAAGAAATCCATTTGCTTCAATATCATTGCAAAACCAACAGTTGCTGCAGCCAGATCCAGAATGTGATTCCTTTTCAATTGATAATATTGATCAATCACCTGGGAGAAACACATCTCCTATTAAAGTTGTCAATAAACAATCTAGTCAGGCTGATGAAATGGAACTCAGCAAGTCTCATCTGCTAAGGTCTCCATTGTTAGAAGCAATTCAAACTGCAACTGCTAGTGCAAGTTCTGAGCTTGATGGGAGAGATTTTGCTGGTCTCTTTGATAGATATGTAAATGATAATGCAAGAAGGTTTGATTCTGGTATTAATGCATCTAGTGGATCTCAGACCAACTTTGAGAATAACAGTTTAAGGACTGAAACGGAATCAGATAATCATATAACTCAACCAAATGAATTTGGTGGAAGGGTGAGCTTTCCTATTGATTTTTCAATAATTAATCATTTGCAGCTTTGCGGATATATTTGTTTCTGATTGTTATACTCCGATGTATTGTGACCAAATGCAGGTGGAAGATATACCACTGGAAGTAGTTTTTCCTTCTCAGATCCAATTTAATGTGGAAGGATCAACCATTGATAACTCAGGTGTCATTCAGAGGGAGTTGGGTACGGATATTTTCTCTGTTGTCAATGAGATATTGTTGTGGGATGGTGATGCAAATGACTGATACTAAAATGTCTGAATTATAAGGTTTATTTTTTTGTTGCATATTAGTATACTTATTATCTTTCAAGGTTGTTTTTTTATGATTTTTGCAAACTAGAAAGGAAGTTTCTTCCATATTAACCTTTTTCCTTTTATCACTTTTGTTTTTGTCAACTCAATAGAGATCAAAATCACAACATAAATATATATATACATATATAATTCATCTAGATTTTCTGAGTTAATGCTACTGAGCTACTCCCAAAATTTTCACAAGTACTTTGGGATCTTTCATATCTTCTGAAAGAAGCCCAATATTCTTTCTTCTTGGTTTCCATGTATTTAGCACATGTTAAAAGGATCATATACATACCAATTGAACTTGGAGTATGTACTCCACAAGATGAGCTGATATGTCCTAGTTGTTCTATTTGGGTAACCCTGCAGGGAGAATATACTAACAATTATGATGGATTGGCTTATTATATGATTATGTGAAGGGAAATAAACCTTTCTATTGACAGTCTATGGAAACTATTGCGGCTTATGCTAATTGCTGATGTATTAAAGGTCTAGTGCTTTTGGTTGGTCTTGCCTGTTAATGTCCTGGAGAATTTATTCCACAATGAGATCTTCAAGTCAATGCTGCAAGATGTAGAATTTTAAGTTCCCTATCCTAATGCTTTCCATACTCATGATGACCGTTTGGCAGCTTCTGGGAAGCCTTGCTCATTCTCTTCAAATGGGATCTCTTACTTTCATGCTTTGGCTTGTATAGCTAGCGAAGACTAATTTCCTTGTTTCACTGAATACACAAATTGCATTAGAGATACAAATTTATATTTGGTATACCCATTTAACTAATCAGTTTAACATATGCAGCACATTGTTGGTTGTGTTATAAATCATAAATGCCATCTTATAGTCCAAAGATAGTTCAGGCAGTAATTTTCTGCTTTTGCAGTATAACCAAAATATGGATCAATTTTACATGCTGTTTTGCTTTAAATAAATTATCATTGAAATATTTTTTTTTCATCTAAATTTATTATAATTGGATTTGAACTGTGAAATTTATGCATGGTAAATTATAATTTTTTCCTTTTTGTTGCCTTGGATGTGGTACATCTTGAATCAGATTTACCTTGGTCATCGATTGCTTTTTGATTGCTTCTATTTATTAATATCCTTTGTGCACATTTCCCTTCCCCTATCAGATGAATCTAATCGTTCTATTGATGAGGACCACTCCATGAATGAATCTTTAAAGGTTGCAGAAAGTGGTGAGCGGCTGCTTGAGGTTTGTACTGTCCAAGATTCTTTATCTTGTTTATATATTTTCCGCTTAATCTAGCTGTCAACTTCCATGAGTAGGAAGTTCTGTAGTGCTTTTTGAGGCTTACGTATAGAAGACATACTATTACCTTTGTACCTTTGGAATATTTTATTTCTCTGATTTTGCTTAATTTTCCAGTCTTGTATTCTCGGGTCTACTATCTCTCTCTCAATGCTGAAAGAGACATATAACGTATTGATATCAACTCAAAATGTTATCTGCAATTTACCAATATTTTAGAATTTGCATCTCAAAGATTGATTTTATTGCACTGAAACCGGATACATTTCCACCTAGACTGTCGTAGGATTAATGTTTATTGCCTTTTCTACCACTGAAACTTTAAACATTTTGTGTTCTGTTGGCTGTCATTAGTTCATGATAATAATTAAAATTGACAGTTGACAGACACAATGTAGTTAACTCTATTTATGAGATGACAAGCAGTTTGGTCTATTATAGTATCCAAGAGTAATCATTATCTCAAATCATTCTGAATCTCAACTTAGTTTTGGTCCGTTAACTCCTTATGGGTTTGATGAAAAAAATGAAAATGTCTAAAACCACCACCAGGGTAAAGCCTGAAACTTGATCCGCAAGTCTTGTTAGGAAACTTCACATACTGAAAGTGTTGCTTCTGTATTACCTAGCAATGGCTGATTGTCATTTTAAATAAAAAAATGTTAAAAGGTTATGGATTAGTGGCAGTTTCTATTAGATGTTTGTATTTACTTAGCATGCTTCAGTTTGCTGTCTGGATTCCCTCAGATTTTATTAGTCTATGCCTATAGAACTGTGAATGTAATCATTTCATCCATTTGGTGAAGAAAAAGAAGTAAAATATGCCTGTTTTGGTTTGTTTCGTTATTCTGAAATTTTCTCGAGTTTCTGTTTTTTCATTTCTACTTTTTAATTTGGTTATTTAGCAACAGAATAAGAAGGCCCAAATAAAACCACAGCCATGCAATAAACCAAAGGGGAAAGCACTTTCTCGAAGACAAAGCCTTGCAGGTGTTATTAATACTAAAAGCTCAACTTGCATCTTTAAAACTATTTGGTAATACTGTTGGAATGAATAGCTGAGTTCTTTCTTTCTAGGTTCTGGTACAACATTCAATGCAGAAGGGAGGAGGCGAAGCACAAGGATCAAGTCAAGACCTTTGGAATTCTGGAAAGGTGAAAGATTCTTATATGGACGCCTACATTCAAGTGAGTACCTTCCCTTGAGGTTTTTTTACTATGCTAGGAGTTCATTATGCCGTTATAAATTAAAATATCAACTGTCATAGTACCATGCTTTCTGAAGAATCGCTAATTTCACCAAAACTGTTATTTAAAAGCGGATGTTTACTTCAAGAGTTTGTTTTAGTTATATGTATTATAATTTGTAACATACCTTACGTCTAATCTGAGTTCTACCAGACTACCAATAAGAAACTATGCCATATAGTAAATCCCTTCATTTGGCCTCAGACACAATGTCCAAAAATGGCTATTTTTCATTTTGATCTGCAATGAGAGGCCTTGTCTTTGTACAGGTTTGGCAACCGTAATCGGGATAAAATACGAGTCTCCAAGGAAGGGTGATGGTCTGAAAGTGAAGTCGTTTGTAAGTGATGAGTACAAAGAACTGATTGAACAGGCCGCCAGGTTTTGAGATGGCCATAATTGTTGTTTATGGACCGACCATGAATCCGGGTTGCAAAGTGAGTTTAGCATACTTTGATGAACTGATCACTAGACATTAGTTCCCAGGATCTCTCTCTCTCTCTCTCTCTCTCTCTCTCTATATATATATATATATATATATATATATGTATGTTGTGCATTACTTGTAGAACTAGTAGTGATATCTGTTGTGGACAATATTTGTTCCACGTGAATTTTTATGATCTTTAAGAACAGAAAGCTATTTACCGGACAATAGAGCATTTGTTTCCAAAGGATCTTGGAGTGTAACAAACTTACGTGTTGACAAGTTTTTTTTAATAGTCCGGAGTGATTACAAAGTGATATCTGATAATAATTTTTTTAACTATTGACAATACACACACCTTGTAGACACGGTTGTTCGAATCCTAGACCTCTAAGAAAACAATACTCCTTTTAACTATTGAAGTAGAGTTCGACAATTTTATGTTTTTTTAAAGAAATAATTTTATGTTTTTATATCTTAAAAAAAAGGTAAAAATGTTTCAAAAGTGCATAGCAATCTTTTGGTTGGGAATTATTTCTTATAAAATCTGGTAGATTCACATATGATAAAATTTAAATAAAACGTAAATTTAAATATAATCAATGCGTCTCAAAGAACTAAACCCATAGAATTGTTTTATTGTGTCCAAAACCATTGAATTATTTTATTGCGTCTTAAAGAACTAAAGAAACATCATTACTTTGAATATGATTTCCAGATTTAAAGAAAACTACAACAAGATTTACTTCGTAGCTATCCATTTGGCCGGAACATTACTGAATTATAAATTTAGAAAAAAAGACAAAAACAGTTAAATTTTCTCCAACAAACTCTAATGCGATTAGAAAATATAATTGTGTAGCATATTTGTTTCATAATATATATATATATATATATATATATATATATTAAAATATCATTTTTAAGTAATGGTTACTTATATTATTTTTAAAATTTAAATTTAGAAATATAATAGAATTTATCATAATATTCAATACTTAATATAATCCATAAATTGGTCTCATTAGAAGGAAATATGACTCATTTTTTAAGTTTTCAATCTATCATTATCAATAGATTAAAAAAGTTTGAACAAAAAGAAACACTTAATTAAAATATACAATGTGGATGTTACTTTACAAAACAATTTTCTAAAGTCCAATAGAGCGAAATAATTCTTATCAATTTAAGTGATGTTTATCCCTTTCCCTTCGTCATCCCAAGTGTAAACAGAAAGATATCAATTATTGCATGTGTTTGAGTTGAATAGTACAACTACTTTTTTTTTTATAGTTTGTGAAATATTTCTAATAAATATACTTGCTACTTTAAAAAAAAATTGTTGGTAACATATTATTAATAGGAGTTAGCAACAATATCATTTTAAACGTAATAATTGATTATTTGATTAATATTTTATAAAATAATTAAAGTATTATTATAAATAATAGGATAAAATATCGAAGTGATCATTTTTATTTTATAGTGGTTGAATGAATTACCTTGCAATTAAGAGAAGATAAAATTGGGATCAATCTTAGTGATTAAAAGGAGTATTGTTCTATTTAGAGGTCTCGAGTTTGAGCAGTTATGCTTGCGGTGTATGTACACGTTATTAATAATTAAGAAAAATTTTAAACAAACACTTTCTTATAGTTAAGAGGCTTTGAGTTCAAATCTCATCCCTTTATAGTAGCACAATTTATTTTTTCCCTATATTTTTGTGGCCACTATAAGTATAGGTTCGAGTCTCTTTTATCTCAATTTCTTAATTAATTTTATAATAGAATAATGATACGTGTATCATCTTATTAGTTTGAATAAAATTATTAAAAAAATAATACATGTATTGTTGATGAAGAGAGAAAATAATAATAAAATAAATCAACAATTAATTGGTCTAGTGAGATGAGACACTAGATTATTTAAGTAAGGTTAAGCGTTCAAACTCTGGTGTTTGCGAATGAAGTAAACTAGATTGGAAGAATCGCCCTTACCTCTGTAGTACCCAATCTGGATTAGTCAATCAATAGACCAGATACTAGTGATTAATTCAAAAAGAATAATAAAATAAAAAATATTTCAAAAAATCTACATTAGTATCACCGCTTTTTTAACAGTCATTTACCCAAATAAAAAAAATATAATAGTGATGTTTTTTTTAGAAAATAGTTTGATAATTAAAGTAGAAAAAGTAACAATTTAATGACTAGTGATGTAGTTTACCCAACGTTATAAATAGGAGTTAACTCTAATAGCTAGTTAATATTATTAAACAATATCAACAGCAAGAGAATCCATAGAATCATACTACTTTAACCAATACAACTTTAAAAACTGTATGCAAAACTCCAATAAAACAACAACAAAAAGTTAAACAGCGATACTAAAAGCGGCATAACAGAACAAACATCCAATCATCCAATGGTTCCCCATAATCTGTTCAGTTCTTGTCTTCTTCACTTTATATTCTTCTTCAACTTGTACTCATCCACCTTCCCTATATTAACCTCTCAAACCTTTACTCTCTCAATCACCCAATTCTTCTTTTCTAATTTCCTCACAAAAAAAAAACCATCTTTTCTTTTCTTTTCCCCCAAACAAAGATTTTCATTCCATTTCTCTAATCATGGAGCTTGTACCCGGTCTTCCTAATGATATTGCCCGTGAATGTTTAGTTCGTGTCCCATACAATGATTTCTCCAGTATTGCATCGACTTGTAAAGACTGGAAGATCGAAATTCATTTACCTGAGTTTTTCCGTCGCCGGAGAGCCGCCGGGTTTAGTAAACATGTGATGGTTATGACTCAATCCCGAGTTGACCCGGATAGAGATTCGGGTCTGAAATGCCAGGCCGTGCCTGTTTATCGGATGGTGGTTTTTGATCCCCATACCGGTTACTGGTGTGAGTTGCCACCGGTTCCGGGGTGTTCTGATGGGTTGCCGGTGTTTTGTCAGGTTGTTGGAGTCGGGTTAAACGTTGTGGTGATGGGTGGGTTGGATCCGGATACTTTTGATGTCCGCAACGAGGTGTATGTGTACAATTTTTTATCGGCTACTTGGCGGCGTGGGGCCGACATGCCGGGCGTGAAGAGGGTCTTCTTTGGATGTGCTTCGGATTCGGATCGGATGGTGTTCGTTGCCGGCGGACACGACGGTGAGAAAAATGCTTTGAGATCGGCAATGGCGTATGACGTGAACACTAACAAGTGGGTCCAATTGCCTGATATGGAAAGAGAACGTGACGAATGCAAGGGAATGTTCCACCTCGGAAATTTCCACGTCATCGGTGGATATTGTACAGATAGGCAAGGCGAATTCGAGAGTAGCGCCGAACTATTCGATGTTGCCACATGGCAGTGGAGCCCAGTACAAGAGAACCTCTTATTACACGGCACGTGTCCTAATACTTGCGCGATGGCTGACGGAGCATTATACGCGTGCGAAGGAGGTGACGTGGCAAAACTCGAAGCGGACACATGGAAACCGGTAGCCGAGCTACCGATTGAGATATGCAATACAGCTCTTGTAGCCACATGGGAAGACAAATTGTTGGTCATTGGTTCCCCAAACTTCGGTGAGCCCCACATCGCTTACGCGTTGAATTTACAAAACTACACGTGGACAAGAATGAAACCGACGGACGAATACTCGGGCCACGTTCAATCCGGTTGCTATTTTAGTATTATAAATGAATTCGGACATTAAAATCCGAATCTCGTACTTGCACTGTAATGTACATATGAAACACGTGTGTGTGTGTGCGCGCCAAATTAGTCAAGGCTAATAAGATAAGGTAATGAATACGAATGTCGTTTTCTCTTTGAAATCAGCATGCTTTTTGGAGAAAAAGAAGAGAGATTAAATTGGGATGAAAAGAGTGGGAAACGTAGGCGACAACTAGATAACGTCATTGTCTACTGCATCACACTAAGTAGTGTGTGTATAGTAATAATCTTCATGTGTGGACTGGAGGTCTAAATAAAATACATGAAGATTTTAAACTTCATCTCCCAATTATATTGGATAATAATTTTCAAGTATATTATTAGCACCTATGGCCATATTCTAAAGTTGAAGGCATAGATTATGGTTTCATAAAGGAAAAAAGCCGAGCAAGTAGGGTTAGTGATGGATCGATTAAATCGTGAAGATTCAAGAATGAATTGAAGGAGATAGGTAAGGTTAATCGATAGGTAAGGTTAATCGTTCTCTTAAATTTTTTTAATTTTTATATATATTTTAAATATTTCCTTGTATTGTTAGCTAGCACCTCTGGCCATATTCTAAAGTGAGTGCAAAATGATTGAAGGCATAGATTATGGTTTCATAAAGGAAAAAAGTTGAGCAAGTAGGGCGAGTGACGGATCTATTAATTCGTAAGGATGGACAAATGTTCATAAATGAATAGAAGGAGATGGATGGTGTAGTCACACTCTTAAAATTTTTAAAATTTCATATTTTAATATATATATATATATATATATATATATATATATATATATTATATTTTATTGATAATTTGTCTTGTCCCCTAAAATTTTATAAATTTACATTTTAATATAAAATATTACATCCGTTCATGCACCGGTCCATCATAAAATTCAAATTTTCTTTATGTTATTATGTTTTATTAATTGTGTCTGTCTTAAATTTATTTATGTTTACTTTACATAAAATTTATATTATAATATATATATATATATATATATATATATATATATAAATTTAGAAATAGAGTGATATTTGGAATGTGCTGCCGGGTTCTTCATTTGGACAAATTGCAATCAATTGTGACATTTTTATAAGTCAAGAAATTGAAGTGGGAAAAAAATGAGTAATAATTTAAGGAAAAAAGTGTAGGATTCCCTGTCATTAGTGTCGCTGTAATCCCTACGCTTTTTCCCCTCCTCAATAGCAACTCTAAATTTGTATGGTTAAAAAGGCCACAAAAGTCTTAACATTATGAAGAAGAAAAATTTAAACTCGTTTTTTTCCTTGTCATAATTTTTTTAACTTAATCTAAGTGGTTAAAGAGAGTGCTATTTTTCTTTGAGACCATGAGTTTGAGCAGTTACATTTGTAAGGTATTTATTGTCAATGGTTAAAAAATTATGAATAAATATTATATTGTAATCATCTTAGATTATTTTTAACATAAAATAATTTTTTTATCAATAGTGTGGACAAGTCAATTATCCATAATGATTTATAATGCATATAATAAAAATAAAATTAAAAATTAAAAAACTATGAAGATGGTTTTAGTTTGAAGAAAATAAAGGTTTTAATTTATGAATTGAGGGTGCAAAATTATTGAAGGCATTGATTAAGGTTGCATAAAAGGTAAAGACTTGAGCAAGTGGCGTGGTCTTTGGACCATTAAATGCTGTAAGAAAAACGTGTTGCTGGGTTCTTCATCTGGACAATTTCACAATAAATTATGATACTTTTACAAGTCAAGAAAAAGAAATGACAGGAATCTATACCATTAAATAAAAGCTATCCCCCAATGCAATGTATTGGTTTCAATGTTTATTAGAGAATGTTTAATTTGTACAGTGAATTACCCGTCAATCTCAATGGGTAGAACGCAAGGCTCTTAACCTTGTGGTCATGAGATCAAGTCCCACAGTAAGTAATTTATAATTCTGACTGCCTGATATCTCTCATGGAATATCCTAGCTCCCTCTTACCCCATTACATATAGGAATAACGTTAGCTAATTTTTTTAATTTGTATGGTATAATAGGTATTGAATATTAGGTATTTTGATTGAGTCTTAATTAGTTTGATATAATTGTTGTTATAAAATTGAGAAAAAAAAATATAAGTTTAAGCGAGTATTTTCTATACATTTAGTACCATAATTATTACTTTTGTTTTATTTTGGTCACTTAACTATTTTTTGTTTCAAAATCATACCTTACATTATGTTTGATTTCATTTTGATTATTCACGGTTAAAAAAGTAACGATGATACTAATATATCACCACAAGATAATACCATGTCATTGAAAAAATTAAAAAATATCACGTCAGTAGTTTTGTTAATTTTTAATTGCAAGTGACCAAAATGAAACTAAAATGTAATATTAGTCATGACTTAAAAAAATAATATTTAAGGAGTTACACTGACAGGGTTTTATGCCGTTCAAGGTTGTAGCAGTGGGCTTGGATGATGTAAGGGTGAAATCAATAGTATTTAAGGATGAGTACTAAACAAATTACATATAACCAAATACACTGATTAAATTAACGAATCCACATGAAAGCAAGGATCATACTGACCAAATATCTCAATAACTAGCCAACCACATACGTAAGCTCACCAGAGAGAAATAAGAGCACCATCACCATCAATGCAAACAGCTGCTGCACAGTCATTTCTTGTTCATACTTTTATGGAGAAGCCTGCCTAAATTTCTCATAAGCTTCATTACCAAAATCAAGCCACTAGAAAAATCTGTTTAAGAAACAATAATAGCAATTTTAGGAAATTTTTTGCATTGTAATTGAGAGAAGATTAGTTTCTCTAATATATGTATTCGTACCGCACATATAAACAAGGGAATGCCACCTGTCAAGCCACAATAATATTCTCAAACTGAAGTAGCGTGAGCAGGCATTTGTCATACACAACTGTCAGAATATGAGAGGTTTAGGGTTTAGAATGAATGAATGAATGAATGAATGAACAAGGACAGCTCCAATTAATGAGAAAGAAAGAAAAAAATAAGCACAAAGATAAAATACAAATTCTGAACTCATTTAAGCACAAAAATGCAGGAAAGAAAAGAAAAAGAAAAGGTTTAAAACCGCCTAAATTCAACAGGGCCATTTGCCCATTCAATCGATCCCCGGTCTCTAAATTGTCACCAAATATTATTACATGCATGATGTCTTTATTCTTCAAGATCTTATGATATGCCTGTGGTTACAGAGAATGTTCCAATCTCATTGGGGAGGGGGAATGCAGACCCCATAAACTGCATTGCTACCTATGCTCCTTTTTGTTTTCTTTTTTTGTTGATCAAGCAGAGCATTAACTAGGGATAGAGCATGATTTACCTACAATATCCAGGAACAAATTGAGGCCCAAACTGGTACAAGTCATAAGCTGGACCTCATAAAGGGGCTCGAAGAAAGGTCTGCACCGCCAAGTAATCCACAAATAAGAAACTTCCAAACATCCACCAAGGTAGTAAAAGTTCTCATTGCATGATTTTTACCTTTATAAGTTTACTGAGGCAGGCTCCATCTTAAATAGTCAATTACTTGCTAAAGTTCATCTCTGAATATCTGCATGGAAATGAAGGATAAACAAATAAATTCACTTACTATAGCAGATGATAGAAACAGATGGGAATTTTTTTTTCTGAACTGGTCGAAAGAAATAGCTTATGAGTTTCAACTTGCCTGCGAGACTGCTTATTTGGTTTATTTTGTCGTTGTCCAAGTTCATCAATCACAAGCTCTGCATAGGAGGACATGTTTAACAGCCAAAACATAAGAAATGGGACAGGTTTATGATAAAAAATTCCCTTACCAGGTCTTTGGGAAGGATTCCATTCATTATTTGGTTTGTTTGAAGTATTTTCTTTGCTGCAAAAGAAGGGTGATTAAATATTTTTGAAACAACCAGCAAGCAACAAAAATTACCACAAATAATTTGTAATACATAACCAGTTACACTGCCAGCATCTTTAGATTTCATTAGTTATTTGCCTCACTCTCCCTCACACAAACCCCAAGTATATGGAAAAGAAAAGGTCTGACACATTACCCTTAAGGTCAATTATAAACATCTATCAATAAGGATACAAGACTTTTATCATCAAACAATCTACCGATAGAAATATTTCAATATTAAAGGAAACATCGGTGACCATTACGGAGATAAAGTAACATGAACGTCAAACCAATAAAGACTCCTTTAAAACATCTTTGAACAATTATTATCTGTTTAGAAGTCAATCCATGTAAAAAGGCCAATAGCTCAATGTATAGTGAAAATACTATGATCCTCCAAAAGACCACGCATTTCACGGCAAATATACCTATGAGATTTCTATAAAGATATAGGTTAGATTGAATAAACACAATCATGCAAATAACAAAAACACATTCGACTGAACTTAAACATGTCTTAAATTAAATGTGCATCTTGAAAAGACATTCCAACCGGATGTTAACCTTCAAGACTGATAACAAAAAGGCAAAGGTAGAATGCTTCAAGTTTCTAAGACTAATGACAAAGTTAATATTCCCTTTCCCACATCCCACTCTGGCAAGCAGAAGGAAAACAGTGGCAACCAAGGCTATTTAAATCAAGCAGGCTGAGAGTTATCTTTGCACAGATACTACCTTTTACTTACCCCAGATTAATAAAAAATAAAAAACAAGCAGGTTGAGGAAACCAAAACTCCGATACTAACCTTGAGGATCCTGTTGAAGATGTCTGCCCCGATGGACGAGTATCATAAGCCCCATCGACAGCAATATAAGGTGGACAATATGTTGTTCCTAGTGAGCCAGCAGCACCTGTCAGTACCGGTAGCCTAACCAAGAAAATGAAAATAATTACTGAAGATGAATAAATCAGAATAACAAGAATCTGAATAAGCCTTCAAGAGAGACTTAACTTTGCATTAATATTCAAACAAAAGTCCATGCTCAATGTGATTGACCACAAAAGGCTTATCTGGTAACTATGGGGAGTCTGAAACACTGACTCATAATTCCTAAGTTATGTTCCATATTGG